CCGGGGACTGCGCCTACCTGATGAGCCCCAAGAAGGGCGAAACCGGTCGTGGGCTGTCGATGGATTTTCAGCAACCTTATGAGTAGTACATTAGAAAAACTTGTGCTGAAATTAGCGGATATCAGTAACAGTCAAAATGAACCAAATTTAAGACACACTAAATAAGTGAAAACTAGGAGTTTACTACCTGTTCTGCCGGTCCATATATTAGAACGTTTTTTGAGTACATAGAATCAGTTGCAGTTGGCTGATAAACGGCGATTGCTTGGTAGCTTGTTGTAAGGGGTCTGAGTCCAGTAACATGAATCTTGGGAATAAGACTGTTGCCTGTTCCAACGAAGTGCCTGGCGGCTGAAGATATTCAAACTCGATTTGTGTCTCTATCTTAGTCCTGAAAAGCGTTGTTTTAACCAATTATGTTCCAAAATTCTGTGGAAAATGTAACTGTTGCTACAAGTAAGCTGATAAAAAGTGTTGAGAGCAGCATATTCTTTTATTGTACACAGATTCTTGAACGGAAATTTACCGGATGGGTAACAGCTTGCATAGTTTTGTGTTTAGATATGCTTGATTCAGAGCAGAGTTCACTATTTGAGATATACCGAAGAAATATGATCATATTTGAACGATGGTAATACCGTCAACAAGAATGTCATTTCAAATTTCGCGTTACTGTATACTATAATGGCCTTCAATATATATATATATATGTATATAAACTGTTGTTCATTATCCTCACCGATTTTCAATGCTAATGTAGAGGGTTGACGATTTACCATATTTGAATATCAGTGCATTGAAATAAACCAATAAAAATGAAAGGCGACAATCGGAAAGGAGCTGACGCGTGACTCTGACTTAATGTGAGCATCTGAGGCGTATCTACCTGCAAGCACTCACTGGATTAAAACTGAGAAAATAAAAGCTGCGCTGTGGTGTGACTACTATGTCCCTGAGCGTACCCAGCCAAGCATTAAGAGAAGGTCACCTGAATTTCTCTGGTTAGGCCAGTCGCAACATGCTTTGTCTGCTACATACTCGCTATCACATTATATTATCTATTTATACTGTATAATTTTAGTAACTATCCTTTCATTTTCTTCTATTCACAACATCTTGCTTTACGAATCTGTTAACATGGGTCTCGGTTAATTCTGTTACATAAGAACCCATCTGCTACTCAAGCTTTATAGGTGACTGTTTTTGTGTTCACTGAGGATAGCAGTTATGTTGCAAACAACCCGTCGGCTATACACCAACGCAACCCGAAACAAGAACGCCACGGTAATTTGTTGCGTACTGGTGAAACCACATTGGATGGGGACCAAAAATGCCTAGTTCAGTGAAGTAATAAACTCATAATAATAAATATAAAAGAATTAATATAAACTCAAATTTTAAAGTGGTTTGTTTTGTTCATTTTCACCTTAGTGCGAGATCGTCGACACAATTCAGGTTGTAGTATGAGTTCATCCGTGGAGTCACTGCTGACAAGAGTACGCCAATCCGAGAGGCAGCCCAGCTTATCTTCTTCAATTGAACTGCCCACGTACGATCTGCTAGATTCGCCTGCGATTGTGGACCCCGATGGGGATGAGAATCAGGTGAATTGGTTCATTGACGGTTTTCAACCCACAGATCAGTATTTATATCTGGTTGTTTTTTTCATTGGTTGATGTTATGTTATTTATCGCTGTTAATGTTGTTATACCCAGTTTCGAACAGAACACATGACCCATGACGGATCAGTCATTTCTCGTTTAGGGTTATGAACTGTGGAGTTGAAGCCGATCACCATATTTTTCCTCTGCACCTTTCTGAGAGATTATCGCTGTTAATGTTGTTATACCCAGTTTTGAACAGAACACACGACCCATGACGGATCAGTCATTTCTCGTTTAGGGTTATGAACTGTGGAGTTGAAGCCGATCACCATATTTTTCCTCTGCACCTTTCTGAGAGATGAATCAGGCAGTCTGTTCTACTAACGTACTCATTTTTTCCCAAAACCTTTATTTAGTCGGTTGTCCGCCAGTAGAAGTCCAGCCTGATAGGTATGCTTAATTATTTGGAAATGTGTCGACTTCGGAGAAAACGTGTTAATTGAATCTAAACACGACTTTCAAAAACCGGTGGTCACTCATTCTGGTGTTCGAATATCATAGAAATGAGTCCTAATGTTCACAAGAACAGAGCTTAAATACAAACTCTTGATTGGCGTCGGTGATTATGTACCAAATAATTCGTGTGGGTGCTGAATTATCGCTTGTTGATGCGAGTACTGGTTCGCTTTGACGAAGAGATGAAAATCTTGTGCATCGCCAACAAAGTATGCAAACCATCACAGCCTTTGTGTCGTCTTAGTGAATTACCTTTCAGTGTGGTGTCTGCATAGCCTTTCCCATTAGTTGATTTGGCATGGAATATGTCCGCCAACGGATACCATCTGATTTCCTTGCGTCAGTGTGGGTTTTCAACATTGAGGGACACAACACAAAAAGCTGCTGTTATATGCCCTCTTATTAGAGTTGGTTTGGCTGAATAGCAATGTCGTACGGACAACAAAGCCACCTGTTACGGTCTGCCGTAAGTGTGACTGTGAAGCTAAACTGGTAAACTATCTTTAAGCTGGAGAGACTCGGTTAGCTGGTCACAGCTATATCGGCTCAAAATGATTGGGTGAGATTTTTGAAGGGGCTCTCGAGTACTCATATATGTGCCTAACCACTACAAGCAAAGCAGTTTATTCAATAACATCATGTACAGCTATGATTCGAAGACAGTAGTTAATTGCTTACTCCTTTAGCGATATCATGCCTTGGTGCAGAGCTCGGTAAACATATTACATGAGTATTATGCTCACTCACGGCTTCTGTCCTGCAGTACTGGAAGTACACTGGGGACGATGATAAATACGGAGGATAGCGCTATTGTAAGATACAAAAGATACAAGAAAACAATAATTCACCATCCGCATTGTGACCAGCTATCATCAAATATTGGAAAATACACCTCTGACTTGAATGAAGTATATGTCGGTCTGTCAGACATTTTAGTACTATACGATAATTCCTCTGAAAGGGATGACTCCAATATAGACCATCCGTCACAGGGAAAGTTGCTCCATTTTACTTCTTACATGCATCAAAATCTTCACCTAGATGTATAAGATCAATGGCACTGTTTATTGTTGTTAAGTAAGAAATATATCGTATCAAGTTTTCGGGCTCCAATTATGCTTATTTTGCGGTTGACCGAATCTTGGCCTCCGTGTGCAATATTTTCACGATACACTTGCAATAGATGACTAACTATTTTGCGGCCTTTACAGCGGCTTATTTCGGTTCGCCTAGTGAAGCCGTCCATGGCAGTGAGTCAGTTCAGATTCCGTTTCTTGAACGGTGTGACTCGATAGGTTAGCATTCATTTTCGGGATATTTCATTGCATAAAACTGTACCAGCTGACCTCCGCTCATGATCGATAGGACCACGTACAACCGACACTGAGTCATGTGTGCGCTCGTCTAAACGCACATCGATGAGTGTAAACCCTGGCCAATGAAACTGGAGTACGAATAGACTGGGGGAATTTTTAAGATACCAGGTTGTCAGACCGATGTTTCTTGGTTTCCACATCAGGTATAGAATCTAAACAGTTCACTCCGTGCATTGTTAGATAGGTCTGAATTAATAGCCCGCTTATAACTCAGCCAGGAACAAGTCATGGTCAAACGTAACGCCGCAGATCCTTTCTAGCGCTATCAGCGGATGGCTCATACGCCCATCCAAATACCAGTAGCTACACAGTTGAACCGGGTTTACACTCGCGTGACATACTATGGCTACCCAGTTGATTCACCTTGTTACCACAGACACATCTATTAACGACGTCGGGGTTAAACTTAATGGCGGGAGAATGCCATGATAAACTCATGCGTCTCATAATAGCAGCACCGAATTCGGTTGATCGGTGCTGATAAAGAGGAGGAGTGAGTTGGCAGTAATTTCAGTGAGATGGATGGGCTATTAGGGTAAGCAACATATTGGCACTAAATAGCTTCACACCGGCTAAGCGGTTTGCTCAGCGGGTGATGTTCAATCTGATCATCTATGCTCATCAAGATGCATATTGTAATGCGTAATGATCTAAGGACAGTTTTTGGTCATTGGTCGTGGTGGTGTACCATATAGGTTCTGTCCATGGAAGTGTACTGACAGGAATATATGAATACGGTGACTGAATTCACGTAACTTTGATAATTTTGTCTTCTATATTTTTCATTTCAAAACTTCATCCATTTGTTCAACCAAAACGTGGTGTTGGAAGATAGTATTCATTCAGAAGACCCTCAGACATCTTCAACTCAAGCGCCCCTTTTTGAATCGATATAAAAAACCCCTACTGGGATCTGGCCAGTACCACTAATGGGGCTGGGTTATTCGAACCTTCAATTAATGACAACCTCCTCCAAACCTAAGAGCTTGCTCGAGCAGCATTTCTTGCCGTTTATGGGTGTTCCGAAAGAACCGAGTCATTTGTGACCCCTGATACTTCCGTTAAATTCGTACTCTTAAAATTCCTTATCTGTTAACATCTGATGTTTAGAGTTCCACTTCATTTGATTGTGAGTCTGTTCAAAGGAATCATTTGATTCGCGTGACACCTGATATCTTTTATTTGGGTGTCACCATTAGGCATCTCGATGTACGACATAGTTCATACTCTGTCATGCTGCGTTTGCATCATAGCCCGGTCAGGTGTGTGCAGTTAATCGTCGTTCATTATGGGATGACAAATGACGACCGGTTGGTACTGATTCAAGTTTCTTCAGGCCGGTTTGGTCTGTACGACCATTCCGCGAACGCATTGTATTAACGGTTCATAACATAGAACCTGAAAATTGAAGGTAGTATTCACCAGCCTGTTGTCCTTGAAGTCTCAGCAAAACCTCCATGTGCATGTTTCCATAAGATGCAACAGACAAACCTACAATTCATTATTTTAAGATGCCAACACTGCGGACAAAGCATGTACATCGTGAGTAATATTTTGTGCACAGCTCTTCGTGATTTTACGGCAAAAATTGGTACCTTTCTCTACTTTAGAAACTGGAGTTCTTACACCTCTTCCAATGAAATAGATTAGTGTCCGCTCATCAGGTCCCACGCAATCAAATATGTCTTTTCAGTTAATGGATCAAAGACAGCGGTTCCCGGCACAAACAATAAAGGTACAATATAGCACAAACGTGGAAACCTCGCAAAATGTGAAACCACATAATTTCGTCAGGTTGCCTGGCTCCTACACATCATATGTTGTCACAGATGAACTCCCTAACGAATGGTGGAGGTATCTAATGATACTCGTCTCACCCACCTGATTCAGTTTTCCACACCTCGGTGACCCATTTGAGCTATTTTAGACCACATTGTGTTCACACAGTTTTTCCAGTCACCTAGAAGTTAGGGATGCCGGTAAAAGTTCTGTTGGTCTTCCTATCCAGTCAGCCTGCGTCAACCGTCGCATTCTTGGGGTCTGGCATTTTAGGCAAACACGAAGTGGGGGCACGGTCAGTCCTTCGAGGTTCTCAGCCGTCATGTACACATGAATCACGCCAATAGACGTCATCTTGTGCCATAGCGATAACGCTGTTGACTGCGCAGCATATATATTGAAGGAAACTGGTCGACTTCTTGGCCACCCAGGGTGGCTTTTATCAAGAAACAAATAACTGATATCAGAACGGTATCAATGGGGCTAGTTACAGGGTGATCAATGTGCTGTGATGTGTGATTTGATGCGAAGGTCATGTGTTCTGTCGCATGGTCTATGTGTGTGCACTTTTGACAGCAGACCTTGGGAGTGAATCGACGTGCAACATGCGGCCTGCCGTGCCTGGGTCATCATCATCATCATCATCA